AGAACAATGTCAAGCGCTCGAGCCAAAGATCATGATACAGCCAGAGGTTAAAGAGGGTGTTACACAGCCGTGCCTTGCAAATAAAATTAATGTCTCCACAGAGTCCTATCATACAAGTCATGAGCCAAACACATCTAAATGAGATAAAGATGCACAACAAGAGTAACTTGTAAACATAATTGTGGCATTCAAACAGTTTAACCTTATTCGATTTCCAAAGTGAAGGCAGTGGTGGACTACTGGTAAGCAATAGGACTTCTAAAATAAATTTGATAAACAAGATATATTTTTAGCTTCAACATTATTTGTTCTTCAGACATTCCTCTTTAAAAGAAACAAAAAGTATTAGCTGTATGCAAAATGGGCAAATTTCAACAATTTGCACATGGGGTCGCATTGAGATTCCCATATCTCTGGAACCGAACTATATAGGGCCTTAAAAATGAATGTACCAAAAGAAAAGTTTGTTAAGAACCAGAACATAAAAGGATATTAAGATATCTTTAAGACTTCTCGAGTTGCAGGCATGTAAACTTTGGAAAAAGAATAATTATGGCACTCATACAGGCATGTTCTATGCAATTGGTTTGATAGAGTGAAACACAATATATTTCTAGTTTCAACATTATTTGTTTTTCAGATATTCCCCTTTAAAATAAAAAAAGTATTAGCTGTATGCAAAGTGACCAACATTTGGTTTTTGACCACTGAAAATGTGTACAAATCAACAATTTACTCACAGGGCCACATTGAGATCCCCACATCTCTGGAACGGTACCATATAGTGCCTTAAAAAATAATAAACCAAAAGAAAAGTTTGTTAAGAACCAGAATCTTAAAGGATATTAAGATATCTTTAATACATTTTGAGTTACAGTCATGCAAACCTTCGAAAAAAATACATTTCAAAAAGTGCATTTTCCCGTTTTTGGACTGTCATATAATGCAACAAAGATTGCTAAAGTCAACAGATTTTTCTAATAGACCAACCAATCTCTGTGTAAAAATAAAAATTTTTACTTTCTAAAAAAAAAAACTTTCTAAAGTAATTTTTATCCTCCTGTAGTTTGGCTCCAAATCTCAGGTGAAAATGGTCATTTTGGCACTCTCTTCAATATACAAGATTACTCAGTAAATATACATCCATGACATTTAATATTTTGGCTTTCGTCAGAAAAAAATTACAAAATCAAAAATTTTGCTTGGCAAGTTTCTGAAATTTGGTTGAATTGGCACAATGACCCAACAGCATGTTTGAGAGCTGACAAAACACTCGTTATTTTTAAAGATTTTAATTTTCCACATTCCAAAACCAACAAAAAACATTTATTGTCATGATACTCTCGTCTCCGCCAAATGACAACGGTTACCCAAATACGGTTTGAATGAACAAACAGGCCTGTTGTGGCATCAACCAGCAGCTGGCAGAGATCTGCTCTGATGATGCCAGCCACAACTGTTGGTCATTAACAAGTACGAGAGAGAATGAACCAGACAGGTGACTGACTACAAACCAAGCACAAATTTGCATAGGTAAAGATCCATGATATGCAATAAAAATAAAATAAAATAAAATAAAATAAAAATCTCTTCTCCAATGCACCCAAACCAAACGTTTCTATGATATTCTGGTCTGTAGATATGATTTGAGTCTGTGGATTGCCCATTTTATCGTCCACCAAGCAAAACAAATCGATCACATCTCAACAAGAAACATGATTTGAGGAATCATTCATGTTTGGAGCACAAACATCTTGGATGAATCGCATACTGAAGTTTCATGCTCAGTGTCAATGGTTTGTATAAATCACTATAAGCATTAGTAATAGTGACTATTGCCTTATGAAAGGTCATTTTTGATGGGCTCCATTAGTTGTTGAATGAGTTGCCCGCAAACATGAAGAGCAGATGGCCTCTACTAATCCATTTAATTTGGAGTCCATCTTCTCTCTTCTAGTTAAACATGAAATATCCTTGTAATATCACGCAATGAGGGCGATAACAGCGATAAGCAGTTGCCTTGGCATCCATTGGTCCTGATTGCCACATCTCAAGATATTCTATTCCTGTCTGACGGATTAGATGCAAAGCTCAGATTCATATGTTTGTTGTCTCACAACCCTGTCCTATTCAATCAGACTGGTACAACAGTAGATTGAAACACATTTCCATTTCCGACACACTAAAACAATGCAAATAACCTATCAAAACGCATTCTAAATGGCATTAACTTGGTTCACATGAAACAAAACGTTCCTGCTCGACGTGAGGGTAGCGAGCAGCTGTCCACCTGTCCTGACAGATGTTATTTTCAAGAGAAGACTCCAAAACGAGCTTTAATTTCCTGTCATTATGTTACGAACGTATTCAGGAGTGCAACGCAAGACAAACATCCGTCTGCAGCCACTGTGCCATCTAAACCCAGCGATGGGAAGAAAAACTTCTCGTTTCTCTCAGGGGAACGTAAGGAAGCAACAAACTTAAACATGCCAATAACAATGAAAATGCACAATTTCCTTAATCAAGTTAAGTCAAGTCACCATTATATATAGCACTTTACACAATACAGATTGTTTCAAAGAAGCTTCACAGTAATAAACAGGAACACAATATGTTAATGTTTCAAAACTGCATAAATTTTAAAGCGCTTTCAATTTCAGCTATAAAGCAGCTCTACAGAAGGCAATAGTGTCATTATTCAGATTCAGTGTTGATTCAATGACAATGTTGCAAAGTTAATCAATTATTGTTCTCTACAACAACTCTCTCATGACTTAGTTTAACAGTCTATTATAAGACTATTTAAAACGCACACTGACTAATGTCACAGTCTTTCACCTTGTCGATATTTTTGAGAAACAAATCTATTGCCTACATCTCACTTATACATGTGGCATCTGTAGAGTTTGCTTGGCTTCAACCAAAAGACAGATCAATTAGCGCTGTAGAGTTTGATTTGGATGTACGGCCTTTGATGTCAACAACAACAGATCTGAGATTCAATAAGTCTATTTATGCATGCATGACTAGATGGTTAGTTGCTGTTAGTTATTTGCATTAATAATGCATTATAATAGTATAATGCATTAAATCAAAATGCATCCTATCTATTTTCTAAATGCATGTTGATCTTATTGAGAACAATTCTTCCGTGCATAAGTAAATATTTCACTTTTTTAGTGCAATGCCCACATCTCAAAATAACCGATGTATTGAACCAAATCCCAGCTCTACATTTTTTTTTTTTTTCAATAATTCATTTCACTCGGTGTACATTACAATGCGGAAGAAACTATCTGTCGCTACTTCCATTTCATCATGACTTTAACAATGCATTTTTCCCACCATCTGCAACCAAATCACTTTTTGGGGAAATAAACATACTGAAAGTTCACATATAGTTGTCTCTGTACATTAAATTAGACTAGGAGAAACTATTTTAATAGCACATTTCGCCTTGAAGAACAATGCATTTCCGAGTCTACAAAGTATAAAGGTTTTCCAGGTGGATTCATCCTCAGAGACAGGCATGCAGTTTTGTTCACTGGTATGAAAGAACCGAACATCAGAAGGATTTTCTCCTGTCTGTGTCCCTCACGTATTACTGATATGGCTATAAAGAAAATGCCTTTATTAACCTTGACACAAGGACTTGGCTGTGTAACTTGTCTAATCAAACGTGCAATTACCTGACCATAATCTGATACGCGCTGGCTGTTCAGAAGACAGAGAAAACACTCATACTGAAGTCCTTTGAGTGACACAGCATAAAGAAGCTTGCATTAATATCTACACTGTTAACACAGATACTAAAGCACTTCTGATGATTTCTTTGATTAGAGCAGGATTTTTAAAAAAAAAGATCACTCATTATTAACTATAAAGAAGCACAGGCTTTTCATTCCCTTACAAAAAGTACCATGGCATCAGATATGGTATTTTGATATATATTATGGTACTGAATGATTGCCATATTCACATACCATAGTGTGTCAAAGAATACCATGAAATCACCCAGGTACATGGCCAAAAACAAACATGTTAGTGTTATCTGTGGTTTCCACAAAAGAAAGGACAAAAATTTGATAGACCACAGCCTACGGTACTTAAAAATATACTTAAATATCGTCCTAAATAAAGTATCATCACATATTAAGTAATATACAATCTGATATTTGTCACTCTGCCACCAAACAGTAAACACAGCAAATAAACTTTCACATTTCTGTAAGTCGAACTGCATATTATTGTAAGATTAACCTGTGTTTAGTTTCGGATCACCTTAACTCTTAATTCTGCCTTGCAAAGACTAATGTGTTGGAAACATGTGGTATGGATAATAACTATAATAGAACATTTGACAATAGCACTGGACTGTTGATCCATAAGAACGTTCAAGAGCCCTCTAGTGGATATCTGACAGCCTGTGTTTAATATCAACTTTATCTTGACTGCCTTTGTGTTATTTAAAGCACATTCTCTAAGCTACATTTGAACCTGATAACTCCAGATGTACAGAAAAAGCCTGTAATAAATACAATAAAGATGCAAAGTGACAAAGTGCATGTGTCTGATGCATGCATATGAGTCTGTGCCTGTGTGATATTTTCACCTGAGTTCTCAGTATTGACACACACTCACTAAACAACAGTGAGAACTCAGGTAATAATTTTTCACAAACTTCCACAACAGAAGGACTTCCTCAATACTTAGCGAGCTGTCAAACAGACATCATTTTTTTGGGCATCATTTGCGTTGACAACAAGGAACGCGCCCAAAACGCCCAAACCTGCTGCACGCGACTGTGACGCCTAGGTAGGTAGCTCACTAGGCTTTAAGTCACAATCCAAGGGCTTATATTACAAAACCTGACACATCTGTACTGAACTAAACGAAACTCGCAACAGTTTTTCTACAGACGCTATTGTTACAAAAATCGCAACACAGTAACAACTCTGCCTGGTAGTAGGCTACTTACTATTCAAAGAAGTGAACCTTACCTTCAGCATTCAGAGTAAAAGAAACTCCCATAATGTGCAGATGAACGTCAGCCTCATTCCTTTAAAATACAGATGTAGTGAATTCTTATATTCCATAGAGAGACACTGATGTTCTCCGAGCAGCTGGTACCTTCACCCTCCACTCACTCAATCCAAATACTGGCGTTTGGTCAGATCACATGAAGCCGGTCTGTGGCTCCGCCCACCGCCCACGCACTTGTTCACAAGGAAGGCAGTAATGTATACACAGCGGTAAATTGATTTTTCAGCAAAGGTATTTCTGAAAACTTCATAGTTTTCACATCAGGCCATTTAGAATGAGATTGTTTGATCTTTGTGTATTAAAGGATGAAATATTCTTGGATATCAGTTTAAAAACCAACTATGATCTGAAACTGGAGTAATAGTGGCCCCAACTGGAAGACTGTGGGAAATAATTTTTAGTCTTTAATACAAATTTGGATTATTTAAAAAAACAAAAAACAAATTTAGTGTATATTATAATGCTTGAATTCAATATTTAAAAATATTTAGTGAAGTTAACTTATTGACCGTTTTTGTGCAAATGTGTAAACAACATTACGTTTACTAGTTAATTATATATTTTTTCTTTTCATCTTGTATTAAAATGCAAAAATAAATAAATAAACAAATACATAATGATGCATTTAATTAAATATGCCTGCAGCTGACCAGTAAAAACACATTACACTGGCCACTGGTTCATGCTATGCATTAAATTATAATACTTTTGCATACGCACAGCAGATACACTGAGCAAACAGAGCTGGATAAAACAAAAACTGTGGTGTCTGTCTTCATTTCAGGCTGCAAAGCAATAAAATGTGATTATTTTAAAAGGGGGTGATTCTTTTCTATACCCACTATGTGTGTGTGTGTGTGTGTGTGTGTGTGTGTGTGTGTATATATATATATATAATTATTACTACTCTAATACATACACATTTAACTGACCTGTTTCAATTTTTCCTATTTCTACTATATTTTACATTATTTATAATATTTTCTCAGATGTTATTTCTGCTTTTTCTATTGTGCTACTTTGTAAGTAGGAATTTCTCCAAAGTAGGATCAATAACATAATTCTTCATCTTCTTCTTCTTCTTCTTCTTATTCTTCTTCTTATTATTATTATTATTTAACAACCACAGAACAACATCAAGAGAAATGTTCCATTCATTTGCAACACGTTACCAAGTGTACATGGTTGAAATTATGCAAACCATAAAATTATATTAGAGTACAATAAAAAAGAATAAAAATATTTCCACTTATCTATCAGTATTATACTTATTAATAATATATACGCTTTATTAGCATTTTACTTCTAGACAAAAGCACTACAATATGGCTTAAAATCATTTTAGAAAGGGAAAAAAACTAATTAACTACATTTCCCAGTAACCCACGGCGTCCGTGACGTATAAATCCTGAGACGATGTTGTTGCTAGGCGATGCGATGCTCTCACGCACACACCACTTCCGAGTTCATTTTCTCTCCGTTACGTTTAACATATAAACAATCTCTCCTCTAAAAATGATTGTTTTTGTATGAAAGCGTTTTGTATTCTTCTCACGCCAAGGAACATGTCATCAACGCAAGAAACTCTCTTCTCACTGGAACTGCTGATCGATTGCGTTCGCTTTGACGGTTCACGTGGCAATGTTTTGAATCCTGCATTAGCTGTTCGCTTCTTAGATTTCCCCACACTGCTGATATACCAATCAAAACAAGAGCATCTTCCATCTAAATCAGGATACGCTGATCTGTGCCTATCACCTGAGGCAATGTCTCAACCCCATGATGGGGAACATCTCAAGTATTTCTTCCATAAAGGCAAATCGTGTCTTTTTAAAATCAATCTGCACGCGTTACATACCCATCTCCTGAACAGCCCTCTCTACGCAATGGTGTTGGATGTAAAAGATGAGATTGCCAAACTTATAGGAAGCTCGTTGATATCCCTCGCCAAAGTGACGGAGAAAATCAAACTGGATGTTGATAAACACGGTATTGGCAACCCATCCGCTTATGGAGAGAGACTGACCACCCCAATTTGCAATCTAATGGGCAACAGCATTGGTGTCATTTCTCTGGCTTATAAGATTGTAAGTCTGGGAGCTCATTTGATTCCTCACATCCCAGAAAACAGAGTCTATGAAGTCGGTGGGACCCGTGGAAAAGGAGAAAAACACTGGTCAGTGCGTGCAAAATGTAATGAAAAAGATGAGATGCCACCAGAAGTAGCTGAGAACCATCCTGGGAATGTCCTTTTACAACAAATAAGCCTTGACGGACAATCTACCGATATAATGATCTCAGGAGCAAAGCAGCCAGGGGTTCCAGCTTTTACTCAGACTGAACAGGCACAACAGAGTGTACACCACATTCTGCCCTCCACCTCTGTTTTACAGCTCCAGCGTGAAGAACCGACAGGAGAGGAAAAGTAGGATGTTAAAGTTTTGATGATCAAAACTTTGCTGAAACACCTGTCGCACACAATCTACTACATGCATTCTGTCGCCTGATTGATAGTTTAGACTTTATTAGCAAGTAAAGGGTCTTTTAGTATAACTGTACATACAGTACGTAAACCTTCAGGTTGTGGTTCATGTGTCTTTTTACTGTGAAATCTTATTTTTTATAAAGTAAACGTAAGAATAACTTGTACATTGTTAGTAATATTTCAAGATGAACACTTACTGGACTGAAGCAAATTAGGTTTACTTGATTATCCAGACATGATTTTTCTTTAAAAAAAAAAAAAATTTAAAAAATCACATTTTGAGAAATGTTTATTTGTTCATCTCTCAGTCATCATTGTATTAAAACTAAGCATTTAAATCTCATCTTACTAAGACATGTTATTGAGAGATATAGAGAGATGACTGATATTTATATCATTTTATGTAAGTAGTAAGTAAAGATCTCATTGGTTTATATTAAAAGCATCAGAATTTCATCTTTTTAGTCATAAATATCAGCATCTGCACCAAATTTCATATTTTTTTGGGCCTCTGAAGAAAATTGAGCTGTTTTTTCATCCATATTCTCACTATAGTGTACACTCTAAAAAATGCTGGGTTGTTTCAACCCAACTTTGGGTCAAATATGGACTAACCCAACCGTTGGGTTACGTTCTTACATTACATTTTTAACCCAAAAGTTGGGTTAGTCCATATTTGACCCAAAGTTGGGTTGAAACAACCCAGCATTTTTTAGAGTGTATATATGAGCCTGATGATGTATCAATTATGATACTCGACAAAAAACATTCCATTTCAAAATATAACTACTATTTCCTATTTCAGGCTTTACGGGGTTATTTGCAGCAATGGAGAGCCTTAATATAGAGGATCCAGAAGATGGAAATAATGAAGTAGAATCATCTGACATGCGTGATTTTGCAGAGATGATGGCTGTAAAGGCAGACGGATCGAGCAAGTTAACTTCATCTCCAAAGTCGCAGCAGCATAAAGAGACGGACTCAGCTTCATTTGGGGATGTTATCAGACAGTTACCCCTGCTGAACACTTTACTAGTTGAACTCTCACAGCTGAACGTCCAGACGGCGCAGCAGCAGGCCTTATCGGTTCATCCTAACCTGGCGTGGTTGTACACATCAGCACAGGAGCCATCAGGAGTAAAACCCAAAGCTGAGAATCAGAAAACAAACCCTAAACAGAGACTTGATCAATGCACGATGAAAGCAGTAAAGAGTGCAAAGAGAAGCAAAGAAAAATTGCAACCTAAGAAGACGCTTAAATACGGCTTGAGAAACACTTTTCGTCTCAGACTCAAACTGGTCAAACCAGGTACCAAAAGGCATGAATGCATCGAATACCAGGATGCAAAACAAGACCAGCCATCATCATCTGACCATAAACGTGTTCGTAAGGCAGCTAGAAGAGGTGTTTGTTCGGATGAAACTGTTGAAACATTAATAAGCAGTTTTGATATGCACCCAACACCAACTGCAACTCCATCAAAATCACAAACAAGATCAAGTATTGGAAAACACATCACAAGTGCACCAAATGAGGAACGTCATTTGACTGAGAAAGACAAAAAAGTTCAAGTTCATATTCCAAGTCAGTATTCAGAGCGCAGTGACCAGCATTCAGCTTCATCTATTCATAATTAAACTCTTGGCTTCCAGAGAGGAGATAGTAGAGCGAGCAGTAATGGCTTGAGTAATGGCTCCTACGGACAAGAAGAGTATCAGGATGACTTCACGAGCCTAAACACAACCGAGGGATACTCACCCGACCCGTTCAGCAGTCCAGAACCAAGCAGACATAAGAGAAACAGCAGTTCGAGCACTTCAAGTACCTCTCATCCAAGCAAAGGTCTACCTGTTTCTGCCAAAGCGGAGAACTCTCCACAACGTGCTCTCAAAAGCACACACGTCATCCGACCGCGTCTTCAGACCTCCGCTCTGAGTCTGTCTTCAGATGAGGATGAGTTTGAGTCTGGAGGTCACAGGCCTGGATCGCAGAGCAATGGACCAAAGACTCCATCTGTGCGCAGGACATTTGGAAAATCGGAGAGCTTTGACAGTGACACTGGTGATAAGGGCATGACATTTAGCTGGGTGTCAGAGGACTCCGATTTAGCCGCTAATAACCCGGTGCTAAAGTCAAGATTTCTTGTAAATAACCCAGTGCTAAAGATTTCATCGTCAGAGCTTGAAGAGGAACGGGATGAACTGGGCTCTCTGGGACTGGACAAGAATTACCGTCACATTTCAGAACTGGTGATCAACGAACTACCAGGCTATACACTGTGATTAGACAATGTTAATCTAATCGTGAAAATGGGTTAACACCAGAAACTAGTGAACATCATCTGATTTATTAATCAATATGAATAACATGTTTTTATATACTGAATTGTTGCATAGAACTGCATTTATTGGCAAACAGTCTTTTGTGTGGTCATTCTGTTTTAACAAATGCAGCTTTTGATATGTATTTAAGAAATGTTATTGTTAATTAATATATTTCATAATTTGTGAAACAGCAAATAAACAATAATTTGTTACAGCAATAAGCACACGGTTGTTTCCAAATCAGAGCCTTGAATCCATTGATAAATGAGTAATGAACCAGTGTT